CGGGGGGCCCAATCGGGCTGCCCAAGACGCGGATCCCGTCCCGGGAGATAGTGACGCCGTGGGGCAGAGCGGCGGGCTCCAGGGCTGTGGCGGACCATGCTTCGCATTTCGCGGGGTTGTGGGACAGGCCGTGGCTGAGAAGTGCTTCCGTGAGGTGGTTGAAGGCCGCCGTGCAGCTCGCAGTCTCGCCTAGCAGGGTGATGTCATCTGCGTACGCGAGGAGCACCACCTCTGGGTGGGCCGTCGCCGTTGCAGCGAGACAGGGGTGGATGCTGGCCGCGAACAGCATAGGCCCCAGTGGGTCACCCTGGCGCACGCCTCGCGCGCTCTGTAGAGGCGCCGCCTCGAAATCGTGGTCGAGGTAGAGGGCTGATGGGCGGCCGTATGAGAGGCGGACGAGGGGGACCAGGGTGTCAAGCTTCGTGCCTTTCAGTCCTTCAAACACCGCCGCGCGCTCCACGGCATTGAAAGCGTTTGCCAGGTCGATCTGGAGGGCCGTTGCTCCGGGGAACTCCTCCAGGTAGGTGCGGGCCGCGTGTATCGCTGCCTCGATGCCCCCCGCGATCGCCACACCGAATTGTAGCGGGGTGAAGTGGTCGCGCGCTGCAGGGGCGGCCAGGAAGAGCGCCGCCTTTGTGACAATACGCAGCAGACATTCGCCCACGGCTATTGGCCTAGTTCCGCCTTGGGGTTTCGTGAAGGCGAGCAGGCGCGAAGCGGTGAGTAGATCTGCAGCCTCGGCGCTCAGTTTACCCGCTAGCGCCGTGTTGGTAAGCGCGTGCAGTTGTAGGAGGACGTCGGTGTTCCCAAGGGCCGCATCTCTCAAGTGCTCGAAGGTAGTCCCTGATGGCCCAGCCCCTACGCCGTTGGGGCAACGGGCAAGCAGCTTCCTGAACTCGCGAGCTGTGATTGAGGGCAGAGTCTCAGGGGCAAAGTCTTGCACCCAGACTGGGATGGCTGCGGTGGCCCTTGGGTGCCTGGCCGTGAGCGCAGCCAATACGTCAGGGGTTGGCGAGCAGACGGGCGTGGCAGTTAGCGACTGGAGGGACTTCGCCAGGTTTCCCCTTTTCGCTAATCCCTCTGCCGCCTCGTCGTAAAGGCCGCGCCACTGCCCTTGGCGAAATCTCGTCAGTCTGTCGCCCATTGCCTTCCAGTCTGGTTTTCGTGCAGATGACGAGCGCAGGAGAATTCGCGGGAGAAACATCAGCAGCTTCCAACCAGGAGTGGAATCAGGGGTTATGGCGAGGTGCAGAAGTGGGGTCAGCAGGCAGATGGCGAAGGATTCGCGAAGTGGGCGAGGAGGGTGGCGGGCAAGGGGTGGCTGTCTGCTGTCGCGCAGCGGGCCGAGGTCCCAGTTGGCGATGTCAGCGAAAAGGTCTTGACGTCTTGCCAGGATGTCAGCGCTGATGATTGGGGCGGGGGTGGCAGGCGTTGGGCCCGCGTTACTGGCTGGGGCGGTGGTAACCGCAATGTTGGGGGCGGTTCGGTTTGGTCTCGCGGTCCGATTTCTGGGGGTTGGGGTTGCAGATGCGGCTCGGCCCAGGTTTGGGATTTGCCCCACACCTTCGGATCTGGTTTGGTTGGCAGGAACGCCTCGGGCACGTGGGCTGGGGACCTCCTCTCCTTGGAGTAGGCGATCCAACTCCTCGTCATCCTCCTCGACTTCAACCCCTAACAACCCCTCTCTTTCAGGGTTAAATAAGGGGTCCCCCTCGTCACTTCTCTCATTCTCCGTAGCCTCCTCAGCCTCCTCGCGAAGTTCCTCCTCGCCGCCTCTCGCGCTCTGACGTATCAGCCTCTCCGCGTTTCTCGCGAAGCCGCTGGCTCCTGTGCGGCGTCTGTTCGTGCCCCGCGCACCGCCGCCTCTCCGTCCCCGCTCGCTACCCCTTCGTCCGCGGCGACTGCCGCGTCCGACGCAGATTCCGCGCGTTGCTCTTGCTACTGCGACTCCCTCGCGCCCCGCCAGCGGCGCCGCGGTCGTCTCGCCTTCCCTTCGTCGGCGCGCTGGCATCTGCTGCGCTACGGTCGGGAGTGATGGACCCGTCCGCAAGACGGGATCCGGAGCTTGAGCATTCCGCGGAGAGCGCGCCGCGGGAGCCTGCGCCTGCCGAGCCTCGGCCACGACTTCCTGCGCATCCCTCCGCAAGCGAGCCCGTTCACCGATTCGAGCGGGTGCAGACTCTTCTCCATCAGCCAGCCTCGCGCCTCTCCCCCCCTGAGTATTCGTGGGCTCCTGCCCGTGTAGCGTCGAACCGTCCTGACGGTCAGCAGCCGCAGCAGCGCGGGCGCTCGCCTCAGCGTCATCCCCAACGGCAGCCGTCTCCTCGTCGCCTATCTCCCGCGCGTCGCGAACATTATCAGCGCAGGGAGGGGGATCCGCGCTCCCCTGAGCGTCCTCGCTCTCCTCGGCGCCCGTCTCCTCGTGGTCGAGCAGGCCAGCGCTCACCCCGAGCGCGATCCCCCGCTCAACAATCACCGCGGCGAGCTCCGGCGACGCGGGGGAAGGGGTCGCCTGGGCGTCGCTGGGGATCAGGTCGTCGCGAGCAGTCCCCTCCGCGTCCGAATTCGGGTGGTTCCGCTGGGCGGCGGGGCCGGCGGAATGGCGGAGGGCGCGGCTCATCTGGCCGCCAGCCGGATCCTGCTCTTGATCACGCTGCGAACACATTCGTGGATGTGGTGCGGCAGGCCCGGGAGAGCGGGGGGCCGACTCACGTTCACATCGAGGTGACAAATGGCCCTCCCTTTGCCGCGGATCCCGGCCCGGTGGCCCCACTGCGCGCGCCGATGTTGGCCGAGTATCTGCCCGCGCGGGTGGGGAGACCCGACTATCGCTCCCCTCGTCAGGTTCCTGGCTTCTCCGCTGGGCGCTTGACTGTTGGCCGCGTTCCTGGCTGGTCGGCGTCGTTTCCGCTCGAAGAGCAGACTGCACCTCACCCCAATCCCGTGGGGAGAGACCCCATGCTGACCATGTGCCGGATATTGAATCTGGCGGAGGCGTGCGAGGTGGTGGCGAACTTGCAGCTGGCAGTGTGTGGGGCCACCCGGAACTTTCCGAGCAGTTTCGGTCCAGGATCCCGAGGATCCTGCGTGACTTTGGCAGGATCGCTCGAGTCGCCGTTGGCGCCCGTGTCGGAAGCGCCCGCCGGGGTAGCTCCCTTAGCCCGTACTTTCCCCCGCCACGTGGGGGATCTTGTAGGGGCTGCTCAGGCCGGGACCCCCCTGGACGTGCTCCAGTCATCGGCGCATCTTCTTCTTGCGGTATCGGCGTGTATGCGCTCGATGCTTGAGATGGAGGGGGCGGAGCCGTACACGATGTAGGCCTCCGCCGCGTGTAATATTGCATGCCGTTCTCTCTTGCCTAGGCTCTGCTCCCTTGATTCCTGTGCATGCGTGTTTCTGCTGGAATAGCAGTCCACTGCCTTGTTCCTTGCCACCAGGAGCGCGCGGCCGAAGGCCGCGCTGGCGAGCGGCGGCGGCCGAAGGCCGCCGGCGCGAGCCGCCGGAAATGAACTCCACACGAAATAATGAGGAGGGGGAGAGAGAAACAGCCCTTAAATAGCTCTGGATGGCGGAGGGCAGAGGGGAGAGGCAGAGGGCAGAGGGCTAAGGGGTATCCTCTCTCTCTCTCTCTCTCTCTCTCTCTCTCTCTCTCTCTCTCTCTCTCTCTCTCTCTCTCTCTCTTTCTCACGGTTGATACCTCTCTCTTTCATGGTCTATCTCTCTTTCTCTCTCTCTCAAGCAGTCCTTCATTGATAGGTTCATAGGGGTACAGGCATGGCAAGAACAGGTGCAGAACATCCCTAGTACTAAGAGCAGCCGGTAATGCTTGGCAGGGCTGAGGTAGGCACCACGGCTTAGCCTTGGGCTTCCCCATGGCGGTGTAGGCACGCCCGGGGGTGTTGCTTTTGCTGCAGGGCTCTAACTCATGTGAACATTCCCCACCCCATCACCACCGCACACTTCCCCCGCCCGCACCACACCTCTCTCTTCCTGCCCCGATCTACATCTGCAACGGATTCTCTCGCGTTTTGTTTGTGTACCGGTGTGCGTGCGAGTGTGTGTCTGTGCATGTGCGGGTGTGTGAGTGAGTGTGTGTGAGCGTTGGTGTTTTTGGAGCTGTGTGTGGGCGTGTGTATGTGTACCCGGAGGTACTCCGGGGCCTTTGTCCACTATCCTGTCTCAGATCCGCACTGAGTTTCGGTCCAGCACTTCTCCAATCCGCGGATTTCACCTCAACAACTCCCCTCCACACGCTTTGCCGAACCTCTGCGCCCACGTGTGCTGCCTAGTGTGTCGCAGTGTGAGTATTAGTGATGAGTGGAAGGCGGGTTAGAGGGGAAGAGAGGGGACTTGGGAGTGTCCATGGGAAAAGGAATGGGAGATGCTTATTTCTCTTGATTTGCGCATCCAATCCATAGCCTCTTCGCGACTTTCCCCCCTTCTTTGTGGTGGGACGCTACCCCAATGCTGTTACTCATGCATCCTGCTTCCATGCCTTTCTACGTCATCTTCGAAATGGTCGAACAATCCCATCGGCCAAAACCACCCGCCCTTCCTCCGACCCCCCACCCACACCTCTCTTCCTGCCCTCAACTTAATCTATTAAAAAAATTCGAGCATTGTGCTTGTGTGTATGTGTGTGTGTGGGAGTGTGTGTGTCTGTGTGTGTGTGCATGTGTGTGCGTGTGAGCGGAAACTGTTTGCGTGTGTGTGTTTGTGGGATCCTGTGTGTGTCTCTGTGTGTGTGTGTGTGTGGGACTGTGCACATGTACCGCACATACCTCCACAGATTCTGCCCTTTTGCCTTTGATATCACAAACATAGCCGCCGTGTAACGTACTGTCTACATGGACAACAGGGCTGACTTCGAACGGCTAGCTGAGAGTGAAGGGTTAGACAACGACCTCACAATTGCTGAAGAGCCAGACACAGGTACTTCATTGGCGCTGGTAAACAATCGTACAGTTGGCTTGCAATCATGTAGCAGATATTCCATGGCCTTAATGTCGCGCATTGCGTATCACTCCCTGCCATGGACAGGAAGTGCAGAGAGGAGGAGGGAGGGAGAGGCAGAGGCGTGTGTGTGCCTCGATTCTGCTCCTAGTGGGGTTGAATTCAACCCCACTACACTCACCCAGCCCTCTCTCTGCTCTCACGCCGCCCTTGTCTCCCTGCCATGGACAGGAAGAGCAGAGAGGAGGAGGGAGGGAGAGGCAGAGGCGTGTGTGTGCCTCGATTCTGCTCCTAGTGGGGTTGGATCAAACCCCGTTACACTCACCCAGCCCTCTCTCTGCTCTCACGCCGCCCTTGTCTCCCTGCCATGGACAGGAAGTGCAGAGAGGAGGAGGGAGGGAAAGGCAGAAGCGTGTGTGTGGCTCGATTTTGCTCCTAGTGGGGTTGAATTCAACCCCATTCCACTCACCCAGCCCTCTCTCTACTCTCACGCCGCCCTTGTCTCCCTGCCATGGACAGGAAGTGCAGAGAGGAGGAGGGAGGGAGAGGCAGAGGCGTGTGTGTGCCTCGATTCTGCTCCTAGTGGGGTTGAATTCAACCCCATTACACTCACCCAGCCCTCTCTCTGCTCTCACGCCGCCCTTGTCTCCCTGCCATGGACAGGAAGTGGAGAGAGGAGGAGGGAGGGAGAGGCAGCGGCGTGTGTGTGCCTCGATTCTGCTCCTAGTGGGGTTGAATTCAACCCCACTACACTCACCCAGCCCTCTCTCTGCTCTCACGCCGCCCTTGTGTCCCTGCCATGGACAGGAAGAGCAGAGAGGAGGAGGGAGGGAGAGGCAGAGGCGTGTGTGTGCCTCGAGTCTGCTCCTAGTGGGGTTGAATGCAACCATATTACACTCACCCAGCCCTCTCTCTTCTCTCACGCCGCCCTTGTCTCCCTGCCATGGACAGGAAGAGCAGAGAGGAGGAGGGAGGGAGAGGCAGAGGCGTGTGTGTGCCTCGATTCTGCTCCTAGTGGGGTTGAATTCAACCCCATTACACTCACCCAGCCCTCTCTCTGCTCTCACGCCACCCTTTTCTCCCTGCCATGGACAGGAAGTGCAGAGAGGAGGAGGGAGGGAGAGGCAGTGGTGTGTGCGTGCCTCGATTCTGCTCGTAGTGGGGTTGAATTCAACCCCACTACACTCACCCAGCCCTCTCTCTGCTCTCACGCCGCCCTTTTCTCCCTGCCATGGACAGGAAGAGCAGATAGGAGGAGGGAGGGAGAGGCAGAGGCGTGTGTGTGCCTCGATTCTGCTCCTAGTGGGGTTGAATTCAACCCCACTACACTCACCCAGCCCTCTCTCTGCTCTCACGCCGCCCTTGACTCCCTGCCATGGACAGGAAGAGCAGAGAGGAGGAGGGAGGGAGAGGCAGAGGCGTGTGTGTGCCTCGATTCTGCTCCTAGTGGGGTTGAATTCAACCCCATTACACTCACCCAGCCCTCTCTCTGCTCTCACGCCGCCCTTGTCTCCCTGCCATGGACAGGAAGTGCAGAGAGGAGGAGGGAGGGAGAGGCAGCGGCGTGTGTGTGCCTCGATTCTGCTCCTAGTGGGGTTGAATTCAACCCCACTACACTCACCCAGCCCTCTCTCTGCTCTCACGCCGCCCTTGTGTCCCTGCCATGGACAGGAAGAGCAGAGAGGAGGAGGGAGGGAGAGGCAGAGGCGTGTGTGTGCCTCGAGTCTGCTCCTAGTGGGGTTGAATGCAACCATATTACACTCACCCAGCCCTCTCTCTTCTCTCACGCCGCCCTTGTCTCCCTGCCATGGACAGGAAGAGCAGAGAGGAGGAGGGAGGGAGAGGCAGAGGCGTGTGTGTGCTTCGATTCTGCTCCTAGTGGGGTTGAATTCAACCCCATTACACTCACCCAGCCCTCTCTCTGCTCTCACGCCACCCTTTTCTCCCTGCCATGGACAGGAAGTGCAGAGAGGAGGAGGGAGGGAGAGGCAGCGGCATGTGCGTACCTCGATTCTGCTCCTAGTGGGGTTGAATTCAACCCCACTACACTCACCCAGCCCTCTCTCTGCTCTCACGCCGCCCTTGTCTCCCTGCCATGGACAGGAAGAGCAGAGAGGAGGAGGGAGGGAGAAGCAGAGGCGTGTGTGCGCCTCGATTCTGCTCCTAGTGGGGTTGAATTCAACCCCATTACACTCACCCAGCCCTCTCTCTGCTCTCACGCCGCCCTTGTCTCCCTGCCATGGACAGGAAGAGCAGAGAGGAGGAGGGAGGGAGAGGCAGAGGCGTGTGTGTGCCTCGATTCTGCTCCTAGTGGGGTTGAATTCAATCCCATTACACTCACCCAGCCCTCTCTCTGCTCTCACGCTGCCCTTGTCTCCCTGCCATGGACAGGAAGAGCAGAGAGGAGGAGGGAGGGAGAGGCAGAGGCGTGTGTGTGCCTCGATTCTGCACCTAGTGGGGTTGAATTCAATCCCATTACACTCACCCAGCCCTCTCTCTGCTCTCACGCCGTCCTTGTCTCCCTGTCATGGACAGGAAGAGCAGAGAGGAGGAGGGAGGGAGAGGCAGAGGCGTGTGTGTGCCTCGATTCTGCTCCTAGTGGGGTTAAATTCAACCCCATTACACTCACCCAGCCCTCTCTCTGCTCTCACGCCGCCCTTGTCTCCCTGCCATGGACAGGAAGTGCAGAGAGGAGGAGGGAGGGAGAGGCAGTGGCGTGTGTGTGCCTCGATTTTGCTCCTAGTGGGGTTGAATTCAACCCCAATACACTCACCCAGCCCTCTCTCTGCTCTCACGCCACCCTTGTCTCCCTGCCATGGACAGGAAGTGCAGAGAGGAGGAGGGAGGGAGAGGCAGCGGTGTGTGTGTGCCTCGATTCTGCTCCTCCTGGGTTGAATTCAGCCCCACTACACTCACCCAGCCCTCTCTCTGCTCTCATGCCACCCTTGTCTCCCTGTCATGGACAGGAAGTGCAGAGAGTAGGAGGGAGGGGCAGGCAGAGGTGTCCGTGCATTATATTCCTTCATCTGAAACCTGTCATGATGTCCCAACACTCATTCTTTTCTATTTTATATTTCACTTTCCAAATATCGCAGATGTGGCTGGTGATCGCCCGTTCAAGTGCCCAGGTTGCCCCAAAACGGCTTAGCACCTACGGAGCACTTGTCAGCCACGAGCGGAAGCACCGCAACACGTCTGCTGACGATGCGCTGTTTTTGCCCACCACTCGGACTTTTGGCGCTGGTCGGGGGATTCTGGTGGAGGAGCACGTACCTTATGTTCGAGTGGAATCTCCATTACTGCCACCGATGGAAGGGGTGGGTGTGGTAGATGATAGCGATGACGAGGGTGGGGGCCAACTGGAGGAGGAGTTTGTGTTTGTCGATGCTGACGCCTCTTTCGCTCATGAGGAGACAGAACCCGAGACTGTGTTTGACACGCGTTTTGAAACATTCAGGTTTCTCTCCCTCTGTAATAGGGGTAGCGGGATGAGTGGACCTGATGTGGCACGGTTTTTCCGGCTCGTGAAACATCCAGATTTTGACCGTGCGCAGTTGGACAAATGGAGTGGACAGCACGCTGTAGATAAGTACGCTGAAGACGAGTTTGGCATTGAGCAGACACAGTTTAGGACTGCTGCCGTACGTGTGCCTGGATGGCACCGGACCTTCACTGTCAAATACTTGGATCTTATCGAGGTATGGAAAGCTATAGCTTAGTTTGTTGTCTGAGATATTGTAATAAAGTGGCTATTTACTTCAACTTGTTATGTTTTTTATGTACAGGCCTTACGACGGATGTGGGCAGATCCAAGAAATAAGAAGGGGTTCATTCACAAAGCCCTAAAGAAATATGTGAACGAAATACGGGTCTATGCCGGAGTAGAAACGGCAGATTTTTGGATTGATTCACAGGTGATTTGCGCATATACGTAGCTAACATTATGCTCTACAATGCATCGAACATGTTTGAACTTTTCTTTTGTTAACAACAATGTCTTTAGTGTTTTTCCATTTATTTCTCTGCATCAATTGTGTATTGTAACTTCCTATTCCGTTTTACTGGACAGGGTGGACTTGGGCCAAAGGAATGCGTGTGCCCGATAATTCTCTCAAGCGATGAGACTCACCTCAGTGGAAATGGGCGTTGCCACGCCTGGCCGTTGTACCTTTCGTTCGGCAATCTTCCCCTCAGCGTTCAGTGGAGCGAGTACGGACATGCACTCGTAGCACTGCTTCCAATTCCAGACGCAGACATGTCATCGACACAGAAAACCATATTGTTCCAGAGATGCTACGAGACAGTGCTGAAGGCGCTCGACCAGGCATGCAAGAAGTACTGTGCTTCTCGCTTTAGCTCGTCAGTGAACCATGGCTAATGCTGTATGGCGATATGAACTGTTTGCGTGCAGGTCAATTCTATTGACGGGCCCATATGGGGAGATTTATACTGTATGGCCCAAGCTGTTTTCGTACGTCGCTGATTTTCCAGAGACTTGCAAAGTGTCGTGCACCAAGCAGACAGGAGCCAAGAAACCCTGCTCAATTTGTGAGGTGTAGGACATAGACTTGGACAACGTGGACCCGACATGTGCTGCCAAGTATCGCACGGTCGAGCAACAACGCAAGTATGCCAATGACAAGGCGCTCGCCAAGGAGTACTCGACTCACATGACGAAGGTGAGGTGGCCACAAACACATGTGCATGATTTGGAACATTGGTTTGTGGTCGGTTTTCACGCCACAGGAACGCCCCTTGTGTTTTTTTACATGTGTGTAGTGCTTTCTCTGGACGTTTGGTAAAAGGGAGGATCGCGCAGAACCATGGGGAAACCCCTATCGAATCTTTATGCCCGACATTTTGCACGTCATATTGATTGGCATATGGGTCTACATACTGGAGGCTATCGTCATCGCTAATAAATGTGGAAAGAAGGCAAACGAGTAAGTGTATTTGTCATGGCGGGCTATACTGAGTGTGTGTGTGCTACTTGTGCAGAGGGCGTGTGCGTGTTGGTTGTACAGAGTGTTTGTGTATCGGTTTGATGGAGGGCGTGTGTGGTGTTTGTGTCGTGTGTGTAAATGTGTTGGCTGTACGTCGGAGTATGTACTGGTACACACCCTAAACTGTACTGGTTCCTATCGGGAAATGCGTAACGTGGTCTGAAACAAACGCTTCTGTTGTGATTGAAACGTAGGTGAGGTTTTGGTTGTTGACGACGTACACCCAGCAACTGTGGCATTAACGGGGTGTGTGGTAATCTTTTGTCTTTGCACACACACCAGGCTGCACTTCGAGATCTATCTCGCCATATTGCTCGCAGGATCAAAAAAATTGCCACCCGGTGGATATTTCAGTTTGGGGGCCAACTTCTCTGCTGCAGAACATGCTGCAATGATGAGGGTAAGCTAGGAGGGAAAGAGTGTGGGTCTGGGTGCTGAATGGCCAGAGTGTTTGAGTGTGTTGGACGTAGACAGTGTGAGTCTAAGTTGGTTGTCTAAGGTGAATACTTGTGCTGGTGGTACGGAGAGTGTGTGTACTAGTGGTTCTGAGTGTGTGACACTGGCTGGTTGTGTAGAGTGTGTGTACTGTTAGTATTGAGTGTGTGTCTCTGCTGGTTGTATAGAGTGTTTGCACTGGGGGTATTGAGTGTGTGTCTCTGCTTGTTGTGTAGAGTGTGTGTACTGGGGGTATTGGGTGTGTGTCTTTGCTGGATGTGTAGAGCGTGTGTACTGTTAGTATTGTGTGTGTGGCTCTGCTGGTAGTATTGAGTGTGTGTGTAAGTGGTATTGAGTGTGTGTCAACCCTGGTTGTAGTGAGGGTGTGTACTGGGGTTATTGACTGTGTGTCTCTGCTGGTTGTGTAGAGTGTGTGTAATGGTGGTATTGACCTGTGTGTCTCTGCTGGTTGTGTAGAGTGTGTGTACTGGTGGTATTGATTGTGTGTCTCTGCTGGCTGTATAGAGTGTGTGCACTGGGGGTATTGAGTGTGTGTCTCTGCTTGTTGTGTAGAGTGTGTGTACTGTTAGTATTGTGTGTGTGTCTAGGCGTGTGTGTGAAGTGTGTGTACTGATGGTATTGACTGTGTGTCTCTGCAGGTTGAGTAGAGTGTGTGTACTGATGGTATTGACTGTGTGTCTCTGCTGGTCGGTATAGAGTGTGTACACTATTAGTATTGAGTGTGTGTCTGCTGGCAGTATAGAGTGTGTGCATGGGTGGTATTGAGTGTGTCTCTGCTGGTTGTATAGAGTGTGTGTAATGGGGTAGAGGTGTAAGTGTCTCTGCTGGTTGTGTAGAGTGTGTGTAATGGGGGTTTTGAGTGTGTGTCTCTGCTGGTTGTGTAGAGTGTGTGTGTTGTTAGTATTGACTGTGTGTCTCCGCTGGTTGTATAGAGAGTGTGTACTGGGGGTATTGAGTGTGTGTTTCTGCTTGTTGTGTCTAGTGCGTGTACTGGTAGTGAATGTGTGTCTCTGCTGGTTGTATAAACTGTGTGTATGTGCTCGTTGCCTTGAGTTCGTATGCGCCAAAGGTGCAGAGTTTGCATGCGAGCGTGTTGTAATGACTATGTGCGTGCTGGTCATACAAACTGAGTGAGACTGTGTGGGTATCCTGGTTATATAGAATGTGTGTGGGCGCTGGTGGTATTGAGTATGTTTTTATGCACTCTACTTTCATGCGGGTATGTGCTTGTTGTACAGCGTGTGGTTGTGCAATAGTTGTTCAAATCCGGACTGTGTGCTGGTTACACAGTGTGTGTCTGTTGGTGCTGGCTGTACAGAGTATATATGTGTATGCTGGGTTGTGTGTGTATCTGGAGGTTGTACTCAAATTGTTTGTGAAGTGGTTGTGTAGTGTCTGTGCATGTTGGTCAGAGCAAGTGTGTGTATGTGCTGGTTTTACCGAGTGTTTGTGTATGCTGGTTGTATTGATTGTGCGTGTATGCTGGTTATTTAGAGCGTGCGTGCATGATGCATGAAGAGTGTGTGTGTGTGATCGCTTGTGGTAGAGAGAGTTTCCACCTCGTTAACATCGCACGTAATCCTGAACCCTCCCACACCTCTTTATTTCTTTGTTCGACGTGCACATTTCAAACCACCCTTCCGTCGTGATGCAGGTTTCTGTGGTAATACTCGAGGGCCTCATAACGGACGCACACATGTGTGTGCTGCGTTTCTTCGTGAAATGGTTCGACACGTATTTTCGCGCATCAACATTCACAGAAGCGAAGTTGGCGGCTTACGTTTAAGGAGACCGCCGAGTACGTATCAAGCATGCTTGTTTATGGCTGAGGTCATGTACGGAATGTGTGTGCTAAACCATATCCATGATGTGATCTCTTTTGTACCTAAACCCACTGCCATCCCTCCAGATTGGTTGCGCTCTTACACACACATCTACCGCGCACAGGAGACGGATGGCAGTTGCCAAAAATCCATTTGCTAACGCATTTTTCAGATTCCATTCGACGTGGAGGGGCTCCTAATGAGTACTGCACGGGCTTGTATGAGCATGCACATACCACCACATGCAAGCAACCATTCCGTGCATCAAACTTCCGCCAGTACGATGAAGCAATTTTGCGGAGTGTCCAACAGAGGAACATGCTTAGCCAACGAGAATCAGCTATTGGTGGATCGTCAACCTACGAGACGGCAGTACTGAAGGTGAGGGTCGAACACTGTTCTCTGTATTTTTTTAGAATGGTTCTTACGCTTACACTTGCACGCGTTGTCTTAGCCTTTGACTATACAATTTGAAATGTGAACATGTTTTGACTGGTTTATACTACCACAGGTCGACCGTGTTCGTTCGAGCGTGCTAACAAAGACGTATGATACAGTGGACCTGCCTGTGGGGGACCCATCAAGAAGAGGGGCAGCAACTTGGCAGAGATATGTGGAGTGCCATGCAGATAGTATGCAGCACATTCACGCATGCATTGAAGAGCTAGGGCTATCAGCCAGCGCCATACATGTAAGTGATGTGTGTGCTTGTTGTACTCCGTACGTGTGTGTGTGTGTGTGTGTGTGTGTGTGTGTGTTGTGTGTGTGTGTGTGTGTGTGTGTGTGTGTGTGTGTGTGTGTGTGTGTGTGTGTGTGTGTGTGTGTGTGTGTGTGTGTGTGTGTGTGTGTGTGTGTGTGTGTGTGTGTGTGTGTGTGTGTGTGTGTGTGTGTGTGTGTGTGTGTGTGTGTGTGTGTGTGTGTGTGTGTGTGTGTGTGTGTGTGTGTGTGTGTGTGTGTGTGTGTGTGTGTGTGTGTGTGTGTGTGTGTGTGTGTGTGTGTGTGTGTGTGTGTGTGTGTGTGTGTGTGTGTGTGTGTGTGTGTGTGTGTGTGTGTGTGTGTGTGTGTGTGTGTGTGTGTGTGTGTGTGTGTGTGTGTGTGTGTGTGTGTGTGTGTGTGTGTGTGTGTGTGTGTGTGGTGTGTGTGTGTGTGTGTGTGTGTGTGTGTGTGTGTGTGTGTGTGTGTGTGTGTGTGTGTGTGTGTGTGTGTGTGTGTGTGTGTGTGTGTGTGTGTGTGTGTGTGTGTGTGTGTGTGTGTGTGTGTGTGTGTGTGTGTGTGTGTGTGTGTGTGTGTGTGTGTGTGTGTGTGTGTGTGTGTGTGTGTGTGTGTGTGTGTGTGTGTGTGTGTGTGTGTGTGTGTGTGTGTGTGTGTGTGTGTGTGTGTGTGTGTGTGTGTGTGTGTGTGTGTGTGTGTGTGTGTGTGTGTGTGTGTGTGTGTGTGTGTGTGTGTGTGTGTGTGTGTGTGTGTGTGTGTGTGTGTGTGTGTGTGTGTGTGTGTGTGTGTGTGTGTGTGTGTGTGTGTGTGTGTGTGTGTGTGTGTGTGTGTGTGTGTGTGTGTGTGGTGGTGTGTGTGTGTGTGTGTGTGTGTGTGTGTGTGTGTGTGTGTGTGTGTGTGTGTGTGTGTGTGTGTGTGTGTGTGTGTGTGTGTGTGTGTGTGTGTGTGTGTGTGTGTGTGTGGTGTGTGTGTGTGTGTGTGTGTGTGTGTGTGTGTGTGTGTGTGTGTGTGTGTGTGTGTGTGTGTGTGTGTGTGTGTGTGTGTGTGTGTGTGTGTGTGTGTGTGTGTGTGTGTGTGTGTGTGTGTGTGTGGTGTGTGTGTGTGTGTGTGTGTGTGTGTGTGTGTGTGTGTGTGTTGTGTGTGTGTGTGTGTGTGTGTGTGTGTGTAGTGTGTGTGTGTGTGGTGTGTGTGTGTGTGTGTGTGTGTGTGTGTGTGTGTGTGTGTGT